CCTTGTCAAACACTGACCTATACATACTAAGCTTTTCTGGTTGGATGTTCCACTCTCCACATTTCTCTTTATACAAGTCATACATTTTCATGAGATTTAGAGAACCTTCCAGATACAGCTTGCTTGTGTCTTTTCTGGAGTAGTGAGATTCAAGTGTGGGAAATGAGCGGATGTGTTCTCTGATCTTTTCTTTGCTGCTTTCTGGGATTTTGTTATGCGGTGCATGGCGTCCTTTCTTGCTTGGAGGGGTCATTCCCAAATCACTGTGTGTGAGGGCGCCTGCTGATCGTGCAAACTTCTCTGAAATATCATGAGGGTAGTTTTTGTATCTTACCTCCATCACTGAAATGAAGAGCAATCTCTGAAGCTTCATCTTCAACTTCATCACTTTCCCATATTATACTGATCAAAATCTTTTCTGCCTCAGTCAGTTCTTGCATGTCTGCAGTTCTGTCACTTATTTTAGCACTGGGCACCACTTGTGTTACGCCCTTTTGACTCTGAAATGCACTGCAGGGTCTGGTATTACTCAGAGCCACAAGGGCGTATATGTACATACGCCCTTCTGGCTCCAAACAGTACTCCACCTTTTTGGTAAGGTCTTTGTTGTTTTATTGTTTTATTCAATACAGATTCATTTCTGATTTGTATCTTTGGCACCACTAGATGGAGCTAATCAAGACCTTTCATTTGATATATACAGGTGCTGGTCATAAAATTAGAATATCATGAAAAAGTAGATTGATTTCAGTAATTCCATTTAAAAAGTGAAACTTGTATATTATATTCATACATTACATACAAACTCATATATTTCAGATGTTTATTTTGTTTAATTTTGATGATTACAAATGACAACAAATGAAAATCTCAAATTCATCATATCAGAAAATTAGAATATTGTGAAAAGGTTCAAAATTGATGGCCCCTGGTGCCACACTCTAATCAGCTAATTAACTCAAACCACCTGCAAAAGCCTTTAAATGGTCTTTCAGTCTAGTTCTATAGGCTACACAATCATGGGGAAGACTGCTGACTTGACAGTTGTCCAAAAGACGACCATCGACACCTTGCACGAGGAGGGCAAGACACAAAAGGTCATCGCTAAAGAGGCTGGCTGTTCACAGAGCTCAGTGTCCAAGCACATTAATAGAGAGGCGAAGGGAAGGAAAAGATGTGGTCGAAAAAAGTGTACAAGCAAGAGAGATAACCGCACCCTGGAGAGGATTGTGAAACAAAACCCATTCAAAAATGTGGGGGAGATTCACAAAGAGTGGACTGCAGCTGGAGTGAGTGCTTCAAGAACCACCACACACAGACGTATGAAAGACATGGGTTTCTGCTGTCGCATTCCTTGTGTCAAGCCACTCTTGAACCACAGACAGCGTCAGAAGCGTCTTGCCTGGGCTAAAGAGAAACAGGACTGGACTGCTGGTGAGTGGTCCAAAGTCATGTTCTCTGATGAAAGTAAATTTTGCATTTCCTTTGGAAATCAAGGTCCCAGAGTCTGGAGGAAAAGAAGAGAGGCACTTCATCCACGTTGCTTGAAGTCCAGTGTAAAGTTTCCACAGTCAGTGATGGTTTGGGGTGCCATGTCATCTGCTGGTGTTGGTCCATTGTGTTTTCTGAGGTCCAGGGTCAACGCAGCCACATACCAGGAAGTTTTAGAGCACTTCATGCTTCCTGCAGCTGACCAACTTTTTGGAGATGCAGATTTCATTTTCCAACAGGACTTGGCACCTGCACACAGTGCCAAAGCTACCAGTACCTGGTTGAAGGACCATGGTATCCCTGTTCTTAATTGGCCAGCAAACTCTCCTGACCTTAACCCCATAGAAAATCTATGGGGTATTGTGAAGAAGAAGATGCAATACACCAGACCCAACAATTCAGAAGAGCTAAAAGCCACTATTAGAGCAACCTGGGCTATCATAACACCTGAGCAGTGCCACAGACTGATCGACTCCATGCCACGCCGCATTGCTGCAGTAATACAGGCCAAAGGAGGCCCAACTAAATACTGAGTGCTGTACATGCTCATACTTTTCATGTTCATACTTTTCAGTTGGCCAACATTTCTATAAATCCTTTGTTTTTATTGGTCTTCAGTAATATTCTAATTTTCTGATATGATGAATTTGAGATTTTCATTTGTTGTCATTTGTAATCATCAAAATTAAACAAAATAAACATCTGAAATATATGAGTTTGTATGTAATGTATGAATATAATATACAAGTTTCACTTTTTAAATGGAATTACTGAAATCAATCTACTTTTTCATGATATTCTAATTTTATGACCAGCACCTGTAGAACTCATTTTTGACCAAAATGCCACTTACGCCCCTCTGGCTCCAAACCCTTGCTATATTGATATATCAGCTAAGGTTAAATGGTGACACAAAATACTGTAGATATCAAAATATTGGTGAACATCCGTTGGAAAGCGTCATATTGGCAACAAACTGCAATTGTTTTCAAACAAAGTTATTCAAAACCCCAAGGTTTAGAACTTAGTCTGACAGGCAGCTCAGCTGAGAATACGAATACGGCATTAATGACTTCAAGGGATACATTTATGAAAAATAATCTTACCTTTATTCCTGCTTTTGTTATGTATGTTCATGTCTGCACATAGGATAGTCCTAATCAGGAAAATCATCTCTTCATAGATATATTTAAATCGTACAAACAACTAATAATTTTTAAAGCCTTGCATTTTGGAGTGATACATGCTAAGAACAAATGTTTTCAATAAGGTCAGATATACTACTGATTTATTGCTCATATAATCTTTTAATATATATACATAAATCTATCTTTTAAAAAGACAAAATTGTACATATGCTTTGGGGAAGTTGTGAATTAGTCTGTTTCAATGCTGAATTGTAACAGTAAATGGCCTTTACAGTGTCTTTTCAAGTCAGCGGACTCCAGAGGGCTTAGATTACACTATAAATCAAAAGAACAAGATTTGTCCTTGCAGCCTCATACCGGGGATTATGTTATATTGGGAGTATGTAACATGCTTTAGGGTCATTGCCATGCTGGATATCTTCAACAGTCTTTTTTAAATATATCTATGAAGTGATGATTTTCCTGATAAAAACTATCCTAAATAGCATAAATAGCTAAACAGGAATGAAGGTAAGATTATTCTTCCTTAATTTTGTTCTAAAAGTCATTAATTGAGGGGATTGTCGGCCTAATGGTTAGGAATCCAGAGTTTCTGAGTTCAAGGCCCAATACCACAGACTGACATCTTCATCCCTGCCGTCTATATCATCCTCCTCTTCGTCCTTGTTAATCCCTCGGTCATCCTCTGCACCACAGGTACAGGAGGATGAGATAAATCTCCGTTTTGTTCCAGATGTCGTCATGGTGCCCTTGGAAAATGCGTGCACTGTGTACCGTTAGAGGTAACAGCCAGTCTTTCATAATAAAACTGGTGGGATAAAAAATGTTAGCAAGCATAATGCTGAAGGATGCAGCTTCTGTCTTTTCCAGCTTTTTGACGAAGACTATCTGAACCACCTCGACCCGCCGGTGAAGCACGTCTTTCCACGCGTATCTTTGTAAAATGACCGGTGGAGCTGATAAGTAAGGTGTCTGGTTTTAATTCTACCAGCAGATAGGTTAAAGAACTCTGTGTAAGAGACTAACTCTTTCCGGATGCTAACAGAGGGAAGTTTGCAGCTCTGGAGAACATCAGCTGTAAGATAAAGTCAGGATGTGAGGGTCATCCTCCCTGGCCTGAGGGAATCTGCACCAAGTGCCAGCCCAGCGCCATCACTCTGAACAGACAGGTGCAGCTCCGTGGTTCTTTCCACATCCCAAAGAAAACTGCAAACTAAATCCAATAATACTAATTAGGTTCATAACAATCACTAGACTATAGCAGCTGGAAGGAACAAACACTTTTTTTAGTATCAATAAACCAACATTTTCCTTTCTTTTTTATTTCTACCAAAGCAAGAGTCTGTTTTAACTACTGGTAAGTAAAACTAAACATCACAACTTTGCAAAAAAAAAAAGAAAATCACTACAAATGGAGACTAAACAAAACGTTAACCAATTTATTTTGTTTGAATGAACTGAAAATTATGAGCATAATTGCATGTGTTTTACAAAGATTTTCCAAATACTGATCAATAATTTTTTCCCTTCATCCAAGGACCAAATCTCTGAGTTTTCTCTATAGAACTTTTATTAAATCTGTCTAAGGAAACATTTCAATGCACATATGCTTAAGGAGAATATTTATTGTTCGCAGGAAAGGAATAAAATTCAGAAAAAAAGGCAATAAAAGTAAATAATTAGCAACTCTAAACCCTACCACCCATCTAACTGTCTTTAAACTGCTGAATAAAAGTTGGCAAAGCTGTAAGATATCATCAGGAGCCGTCGTCTGTTCCCAGTCTCTTCATATGAGAGCGATTCAGGCAGTCTCAGTCGCCTAAAACATAAAACATTATGTGAATACATAGCTGTACTATACAGGGTCACTATTTCAATTAAAAGTTACATGTCTACAATTTAATTGGACTTGGTTGTAAACTAGGGTGTAAAATTAGTCTCCTTAAAGATGTATTTAGTTGTTTTAATGTTTCAAATTATCAAATAAAACCAAAGCCAACCTGAGAAATAGGAAATAAAGCTGACGATTTTATTCACTGAGGGGAAAAACATCTATTCAAACTGACCTGGATGCATATGAAAAAACTTAATTCCCCCGTGTTAAAACATGACTTAGCTGTAATAAAGCACTTTGTTAGAAGCTGGATTCATTACACCAGCCACACCCAACCCTAAACACAGCCAGGGCTGTATTATAAAGTAATTCACTTTCAAACAACCTTATCCTTTAGTCTTGCATTTTTTTCTATTCTGTCTGTTTTTGTCTCGTGGCCAAGATTTTATTTTTTTTTTTTAATGCCAATGGGACTATCATGGTTAAACGAGCAATCTAAATGACTCCTTTGCAGTAATCGCTAAATCTTGTTGGCATCTGATGTCACCAAGGGTGGAACAATCAGTTAAAGAAGCAGAAAAAATACTTTTCCATATAAGTCTGGGTTAGTTTAAGAAGAGTATATTTCCCTTAATGAATGAAATAATCTCTTTAAAACAACATTTTGTATTAACTCAGGTTAACGTAAGCAAACAAAAGGACAATCTGTAAGATGGTCGGTCTATAAAAAACATATAAAGATCATTTACTCACCACATCCTGGGCAAGAGCCAGTTGAGGACCTGCAAAGAAAAATATTTAACAGTAAGAAACCTGAAATTATTTCCATAGTCTAAAGAAAAATATGAATTTGTGTAAAATGAATGCAGATTATTACATGTAAAATAAACAAAGAGGTCTATATATTTAATCTTGTTCAAAATATTTTTCTTCTTCTCAATATATTACAAATTTAACAAAATCAGTCAAATGAAGTAACAAAAACACAATTTGTTAAAATTATTTTCCAAATCGGATTCTCTATTGGGTAATGCCATCTCACCAGACAAGGCAGATGTGGGGCAAGGGACCTCTATCCCATCAGCTGGGTTCACACACCAGCAGAGCTCCCCCAGGCACTGCTTGGGCAGGTAGAGACCCTGCTTGTCACAACTGGGACGGAAGAGCGGCACTTGGAGAGTTACCAATCCAAATGCTTCCTTCTGGCACTGGGTGAGCAGAGTGGCTAAATGAAAAGACATTTAATTCATGACGTTAGATTATTAGAATACTGCAGCATTATTTGTGAACAAACTGTCAATTCAAGACAAACTCACAAGATTTTTCAGTTCCACTTGATGCCTCCTGCAGCATAAAACAAATGAAAGAAAAATGAGACCAGCTGGTTTTAATAAACATTAAGGGTTGATTTATTTTTTAGGGAAAAACATTAATTCTAGAACATGGATGTTAACCAAAGTGCAACAAAAGCAGCTTTTACCTCCTCCATGGAGGTGTCCATAATCTCCAGGGCTGGAATCATGGACATGTGCATCCTCACAGGCATAGAAGCTGCAGAGCAAAAGAAAAGCAACATGTGCAACAGTGAGACTGACATTCTCTCATCAACTCCAAGTATTGATTTGTATAATTTTTCAATGTTAAGAGTGTCTCTGAGGGCAAACAATGACCGTTACTAAGTCAATTCAAAAAGTTTTGCAACACATAGTGATTTGCTTTTCGATTTTGTACAGCAACAGGTTTTTAAATGCACTCATCATTTCTTATCTCCTTCAAACAGTATTCTATCTGATTAAATTAGAGAGACCCATGTTCTGACAATAAAAACAATTAATTTTTAAATTAAATGACTGATTCAAAAAATGACACCTTCTGTTCATGAATAACTGTTCTAAAAAAGGACAAGATATAAAAAACTCCTTTTTATTTAATAGCATTATCCATTGTTCAAATGAGTATCTAATTAAAGATGTTGTAACATTTACAAATGACCAAATAAGCTGTAGAGAAGCTTAGTCATTTGTTGCTGACATTTAAAGCACATGGATATTAAATGTCAGTCGACCAAAATGAAAAAAAAAAGTTAATTAACAATAAAACTGATCTGTGTGTAAAGACAGTTTCAGACGTTTGTAAGATAAAAGTGTTTGTTAGCATATCTAGGCAGAGGCTGAAAACATGGCGAAACATCTGGAAAGAGGAAAATGATCAGTTTCAGCATATTTACGAAGTTGTATTTAAAGATTATAAAGGCTGTTAAAGATAAGATGTGCAGACAGATGAAACCAAGAGAGGAGAAATGTGTGATTTAAGCCTTTTGAACTGACCAGTCAGTTCCTGAGCATAAAGTGGAATCGCTGAGCGGAGCTTGTCTCTATAATACTTGAAAAGGTTGAACAATGTTGTCAAGGTCTGTTTAGGGTTAAAAAAAAACAACAGAAAAGTGTAGGGATGCACGATATTGGGATTTTGGCCGATATCCGATATGCCGATATTTTAAAACTCATGTAGCCGATAATCGATATCGATACCGATGTTAAAGCTGGACAAAAATAAGTAGTCATTGAAAATAGCAGTTTTGTTATCCATTTCTGACACTTTGAAAAATAATATACTCAGATATATTTTCATATGCTGATATCAAACTGATTTTTAAAAACGCGGTATCGATCTATTTTACTTTCAAAATCTGGTGAAATTTCATCGTTCTGTTACAAACTCTCGTGATATTTTGCAAATTCTTGTGAGATTTTGTTAGTAAAATAGATCGATACCGCGTCAATATATCAACATATAAAAATATGGCAAAATTTGGTGAATTTTTGGGGGATTTCGTAGCATAACGATGACATATAGCAATATTTCATTAGTAAAAGAGATTGATATGGTGTTTTTAAATGGCAATATATCAGCATATGAAGATATTGGGATATTTTAATGGATCAATATTTTTTCCCTCGTCTTTAGAAGTTTTTAAGTCTGTAAAAAAAGAAGTTTTTGAGGAAGAAGAAGAAGTAGTATTTATTTTTTTTTTAGACTTTAGAAACTCAGAAGCTGATCAAATATCGGGTTAAATATCGGTGGGGGGGCCGATGTCCGATATTCAGTTTTAAGGCCGATACCGATAGGGGGCCGATTATATCCTGCATCCCTAGAAAAGTGTGTTTTGGTGATCAGTTGAGGAATTATCCATTATTGGTGTGAATATAAGAAAAAAGAGAAAAGGTGTTTTAAAAGACATGATAGAAAGGTGCAACCTGTGCTTACTGACTGGGTAACCCTTTCCTGTCTGAGCTTTATGGTCGACTGAAAGGTGAGGCAGGCCTGGGCACGGATCAGCTGGACGTATGCCAAAGTTAGTAAGGAACCGACTAAAATTTTCTTTCACGCCGTTCCTAAGCTTAAACGCCTTTTATTGCAATGCCAAACAAAACCCCAAAAAGGAAAGTTTTCTCTGTATGACATAATTAACCAACTGCTGCCCCTCCCCTACCTATTGCTGTGAGTCGTTGGTCTGCTGGCTGGATGAAAGCATCTTTGACTTCCTTCCAAGAAAGCTAACTTTAGCAGAATTGAAACAATCTTGTCACAAACAAAAAAACTTGCAGGCCACACCCGACACCTTATAAGACTTCTTTTTTAAAGTGTGGTTATCAAATGAAAAGCAGGATCTCTGTTACCATGGATCCAACGACAATCAGTCTATCTATCCAGCCCATTTTAAGCCTCTTTGTTATTCTCAATAAAGCAGAGCGATTTAAAAAAAGCTTGGATATTTTTTACAACAAAAACTTATCCTGGGTGTTGCTCTTTCTATTTGCTTATAGGAAAGAACTTTCTTTCAGTACGGTTTTGATTAAAGCAGATCATATCTTTTAACAGAAGATAACTATCATTCTCTTCTTAAACTTTATATGGTGTTTTCTTTTTGTATTCTCTTATTTTATCAACAGGAAGTATTCCAAAGAAGGAGTCAGTTCCTCCTCTGCTGTTAGCTTTTAGCCTCGAGTTTAGCAACCAAAATGGCTGTTGTCATTATAGACTGTCATAAAAATGCCTGTTAAAAATGATAAACAATTTAAACTTTTTATATTCAATTAACGCAGAAGCACCCATAGCCTTTCACTACCTATATTTGTGAAAATGAGACATATTCTTATCAATTTTTTGTCGCTAATAAAAGTCGGAATAGAAATAAATGACAAATATCTTGAACCTGTCTGAATAGATGCCACACAGTTAGTTATGTGAGCTCTGGTTTGTGATGATTGGTCACTTTTCTAATGGGACATTAGGAAGAGAATCAGATGATTAACAAACAGGAAGTGGAGGTAG